TATTCAAAGAAATTAATGCATCCCACAGATCCCTGGATCTCCAAACACTTGTTACTCATTCATCAGGCATGGCATCAATGACCCCCAGCTAACAACAAAGAGGAATGGCAGCAGTTCGATAATAATATCACCGAGATATTGCAAGTGGATGCAAGAGGAGATTTAGACCAATGTTTAAAATTTATGACAATGATAATTGTAAGCATGGCAACAGAAAGTTTTGGCTTTGTTGAAACATAACAGCAGAAAAAGACTTACAATTTGAACAGGAGAGAGCACAAGATAAAGGAGAGAAATCAGAACACTCAGAAAATTTAAATCAGTCAGTACTGAAGAAAGGATCCCTCTAATAAAGTTATGGAAGATCCTGAGAAAAATGTTGAAGAACATATGAAGAGCAGAGTGTCACAGGAGAAGGAGAAAAAGAGTGAGGAAATGAGCCAGTTTCATATTGAATCCTTTTGACTTCACTAGGAGATAAGAGAAGTTGAAATTTAGAGATATCAGAGGAGGAGATTAATAGTTATCTCCAAAACTCCTTCTGTGACCCAGCAAGAGATCTGGGCCCAAATGATTTGCTGATTACCCAGGATCCCCTAAACCAAAAATTTAATATAGAGTCTCCAACTTGGAAAGAACTTCAAGATGTGGTCAGAGCATCAAGATCTGCATCATCACTGAGTCCTATGGAGTCCCTTACATTGAATACAAGCAATACATAGGAATACCCCAGTTTCTGTGAAAATTGTTAAGGGCAATCTAGAAGAGAGGTAGAATTGCTGCACAATGGAGGCAAACTGATGAGTTATGGATATTTAAGGAAGAATCCTTAAAAGAGATTGAACAATTTTGTATTATTTCTCTACTTAACACTGAGTGCAAGATCTCCTTCATAATCTTAGCCAAACATTTCTCTTACTACTGTGTCAATAATGGCTATATAGACACATCAGTCCAGAAGGGAGGCATTGCTGGAATCACAGAATTACTTGGAATGCACAGAAGCCAGAACGAACAACTTGATTTAAATGGTTGTCTTGCAAACGCCTACGGGTCGAACATGGATGACTTTAATGGCCTGTCTGGTTAGACCTCATGGAATATTGCAGGTGAAAAACCTAAAGGTTGATCCCACACAAGCACATGGGTGCATAACCGACTATACAGTATTGACAGCACTCTTCAATTTAGCTATGAATATGCTTGTCAAGGCTGCAAGGAGGGAGTACCAGGGACTTCAGTCAGAGTCAAGGGTCTGGATGGATGACCTTACTTTCACAACAAACTCAGTAACAGGTGGCAGGCAGCTCAAGGGGTCTTGTTTGAAAGGAACATGAACTGGGCAAGGATGAAATTCAAACCAGCTGAATCAAGGTCTCTTGTGATTAAAAAAGGCCAGGTCCTGCCAAATACAGATTTACTGTCATGGAAACAAATATCCCATCTCTCTCAGAGAAACCAATCAAGAATTTAGGCAAGACATTTGATAGTAGTCTGACAGATACTGCCCCTACCCACCAGACAACTGACGACCTAGACACAGCATTATTAAGAATTAATAAATCAGGCCTACCAAGTGGATTAAAGCACTCATTATTACCCAGAGTGCTATGGCCACTTCAGCTATATGAAGATTGCTCAGTGCTCACTATGGTGGAAGCTTTGGAGAGGAAAATAACAATGCACTTGAGAAGATGGCTTGGGTTACCTAAAAGCTTAAGTAGTGATGCACTGTATGGTAACACAAATGCACTAAAGCTACCACTTAGTAGCCTCAAGGAGGAGTTCTTAGTAAGCCAGACTAGGGAGGTCTGCCAATTCAGAGAATCTAAAGACACAAAAGTGAGAGGTATAGGCATAGAGACTTAGACAGGGAGAAAATGGATTGCCATTAACTGTGACAGGCTAAGACAAAAATCCATAATAGGAATCACAGCAAAAGGAAAGACAAGATTGGGCTACTTCACCAGTATATGATATGATAAAGCCCAATCTAAAGAAAGATGCCAGTTATTACAGAATGAAGTCTGAGCAGGCCTCAAGGAAAACTGTTACTGTAGAATGGTCAGGCTTTGGTAACAAGGAGCATAGACAAAATAGGAAGAAACTGAAGAGTAGAAGATAAATTGGTCAGAATACAGTTCCTAATAAAATCAGCTTACAACATTCTCCCAAATCCAGCAAATGTAAATATATGGGATATAAATGAAATTCCCAACTGCATTCTATGTGGAAGGAGAGGGTCCATTGCAACACATCTTAAGTAGCTGCTTTATCATATCAAGGCTTTAAGGGATAGATGGATTCATTGGTGCAATAGCAAATGCAGTCACGACAGCCATCAGGTCATGCAAATTTAAAGCAAGGTGTAAGTAGCCATTAATACATTTTATTAAGGCCAGAGAAAATAAAACAAAAACAGAAAAAAATACTCTAAATATGCTTTCAACAGCACCTGACTGGCAGCTGATCATGGACCTGCAAAAACAACTGAAATTCTCAGGTCAAATAGTGCAGACAGCACTTTGTCCAGACCTATTAATATATTCCAGCAGCACCAAGGAATTAATAATTTGGGGGGAGAACATCACACTTGCTAATGAAAGAAACCATAAGAAAAACCAGCAGCTGGTCTAAAGGTGCCAGCAAAATGGTGGGAAAACCTACTTTGATCCAATTGTAGTGGGGTGCAAAGGTTTTGTGGGACACTCATTAAGCAAGGCACTAGTGAAAATTGGAATTGTAGCAGCAGCAAAGAAGAAATTCCTGAAAGAAAGCTCAGACCCAGCTGAAGAAGGATCCCAATGGATATGGTTAAAAAGGAATGATCCATGGATTAAAGCATGAATAAGCCTTTATGATGAGTGAAACTACACTAGCTTTCTTCCCAGTTTTTTTTTTATCTGATGGGTGAGGAGAAAAGAAAAAAGAAAAGTACCCACTATGATGGCATTAGATAAACAGTAAATGCAGTCTATCATCAACTGATACTATATTTTAAAATCATTGTTGATTTTATGTATTGTCGAGTATATGGGTTGTAATTCAGTTTGGAACTATATTTGCTTCCTCCATACAAGGTACTACGAAGAGATTTAACTCTTGAATTCAAGTTGATTCCATGCAATACTGTGATTTTTTTTCTCTCCTTTTTTTGTATGCCTAACAAATTATGCAGTGCACAATCTAGTAAGGTAAGCCTAGATGTCGAAGCTATGAGGGTATTGTTTGGTTAGTGTTCTAAATCACAGTAAGAGTATAATAGACTTTGATTAGTTTACTGTATTAACTAGTTTTGTATCTGAAAATCCAATTCAAGATTTGGGTTTTAAAACTACTTAGAATGACTCATGTTAAACTGAGACATTTTTTATTCTTGATCTTCAGAAACATTAATAATTTCTTCTTTTTTCTTTTAAAGGATGACTCAACTTTTGTTAGGATAGGCTTTACAGTAATTAATGTTAGAATTAAGTGGTTCTCTTACAATGAGCCAATGGAGATTTACAGTTAAGTTTTAAATAGTTTGTAACTGATTGACTCTCACCTAAACAAGTTTAGATAGTTGTTTTTGTCTTTTAACCTATCTATAATAGACTTCGATTAGTTAAGCAAGTTAGCTTGCATTTTCTGGCTTGGGTGCCCTTGGAGCCAACTAGGTGTTTTATTTTTATTTTATTTTTTTTTTGTGGCATTAAATGTGAAGCAACTTACCATAATATCAATGCATACACAGGAGAGGCAATACTGGAAAGACATGCTCAAAACTAGTCATCAAGCTCATACCTGTAGATAGCATGTAAAACAGTCTCTGATTGGCTGATGCAGATCTCAATGGCATTATAAAAGGTAAGACCTACCTCCTGATATATTCAAAAAATGTTTTTCCAAAAGTACATTATAGTGCAAATTATGTGGTGGGAGGCAGCCTGTCAACAGGTCGGGGTAGCTGGCAGAATGGATCTGATGTTGCAATACCCGAAATTCATAAGGAAGCCAGGGGGACATCACTGATGACCTCCACCATTTCATTTTTGTAAATGTATTTCAAGAATATATATATATATAAATTTTTATATATATATATATATATATATATATATATATATATATATATATATATATATAATATAAAGAGAGACAGTCTAACAGGCAAAGAATGCTGAGTTTAATTATTCTGTTTTGAACAATCACTCAATTAGTATAAAATTAGTTTTAATTATCAAATAATAATCAATGTTTCACTATCCTTTGACCATAAATTTTATCTATTTTACACTAAGCCTCTGGCATTGTCTAAATGATTACATGACTATTACTAATCAGGAAAAATTAACTTTATCAAATAGGAATTAGTGTTTGAAATCCACTTTTATCTTCCTCTTTTTATTATTGCTTAATGTTTCTGATAGGGTGAAAAACCAATATTTTTACTGTTTTTCTTTTTTATCTAGGATCTTTCTCATTTTTTACACAGATCATCTGGAAATTTTCAATTTCCTTATAACTCCAATTATTACTGACTAAACAAAACTTTACTAATAAAGTAATTGGTTGAAAATTTTAATTAATAATGATCATATTGTGAAAACTTTGACTTTTATAAAATCTAACATTGTGTACTATAAATAAATATATTCATTTTATTACTACAGTGCTCTGAAGAGGTCATCCCCTTTTATTAACTGATATGATTTTAGTTTTAACATTTAATTGCCAAAATATTAAACTATTATGATGTGGCTTACAATAAGTTTTGGTTTGATTCTAATGATGTAAGCTTAGCACTTTCAAAATTTCTAAAATTAAAAAAAAAATAATTTAATTATTTACTTTAAATTTATCATCAATATTAATGTATACAGAATGAGTGAAAAATGCTGCAGCTATATTTTCAACACATCTTGGTTTCTTTTTGTTTATGATTTTTTTAATATATTTTGCAAAATTCATGTGTTCAGGTTTTAGTTTAAAAATAAAATCCTTAAGGACAAAAATAAATGTTCTTATTTTTTCATTATTATCTTTACAGAAACATGAAACAAACTGTTGAAGATTTGAATGTCCAACTCAGGAAAAAAGAACAAGATTTGGAAAATCTGCTTCAGAAGTAATGCTTTATTTTAACTCTTGTCTTTTTATCTTGGTCGGAGATAAGTTTGGTGTTTGGTATTCTGTCAGACATGTCTCTTTCAAAATCTCATAATTTGAATCATAGCAATATGGCTACCAAATAATTTTATGCATGGGTACTTTTTTATCTTTCTCCATCTTTGATATGTTAAATTTGGAAATAGTCATTTTTTTAGAAAACTGTAACATAATAGATGATTAATTGGTAAACTATTGAGTCTGATTCCTATCACCTGATACTTGATATGCATGACAATGTAAATTACATTATGCATAATAATGAAAAGGGTAACTCTTTCTCTTTGTTTTTCAGACTTGCTTGTTATGACATAATTAACAGCATAGTCTCACTACTGAATAAACAATGAGAAAATTTGTTATTATGGTAACATGAAGCATGGTTAGCACCACTCAAAGCAAGTAAACAAGGAAGTGTTGTGTTACCATAACAACAGAATTTAAAAAATAAGACAATTATAAAAATTAAGAAATTTTAAAATATAAAATTTTGTTGTTATAGTAACACAAGGTGTACACAATAGTATAACTTCAAATAAGTAAGTGTTGTCTTACAATAGCAACAGAATATTTCTAAATTTAAAAAGTCCTAAAGTTTTAAAATACACACATATACATATATGGATTGCTCTAAAAGTAATGCCTTTTACTTGATTATATTGGACCATAACATCAGTGATGAATGTTGATGGCATGTCAAAGAGGCTGAACCTTCCCACCAATAACCCATACTTTTTTTACCTTGTTAAGTTGTTACAAATAGTGGCTGTCTGGCAAAATGGCATCTGACATGAAAGTGCATATGAAGCAATGAGTAGTTTCAACCAGCACTGCAAATTGCTAAAAAACCAAGATGTTAATCTGAAAACTCTAAATAAATCTTAAATAACTTCTTAAATAACCTAATCAGATTGAGACTTTGATATGGCACAAAACTCATTTAGAAATATCTAAACTGTCAGCTGTATACAACCATTTTCTAAAATCAATGGTTTTAAACAGATTTTGAACAAGTTAAGCCTATGTGTCTTGGCGAAGATCAAACTTCTTTGAATCTTGTGGATTGGCACTAGAGAATCACCAACAAAGAATTGTAACAAATAATAGAAACCATATCACTTAAGAACTTTCAACAGCATCACTAGCTAAAATGTATATTGCATCTAATGTGAAGAGAAAATAATGACATAATCAAGATGTTGACATTCCACACTACTTCAAATACAAGGCTAAGAAGGAAACCAACATCAATACTGGAAAGAGCAATGATAGCTACTGGACTTGAGAAACCTATTTTCCTGAAAAATTGTTTTAAAAGAAAGATCTTATAAATTTTAACTGACAGTAGTACTGCCTACTCAGTCAATGATTGCTGAATGTTTCCTTATAAGGAACCAGTTAATATTACCATTACCACTAGCAATTAAAACATTTTACCCCCAAAATCCAAAATATTCAAAAAACATACACCAGCTCAAATGGACTCTCATACAAATAACCATACAAAATGACATGACAATACAACAGAGTAAACCAAACTACGGAAAAATCGAACAAATCATAAATAACAATAATCATACAGTAACCAATTTTAAGGCACAATCCTCAAAGAAAATCATAACTACAAATTCAAAGAATATAATATGTATGACAAAGTCTACACATCAATAACCAACAAAAGTTCAACTGTACGAACATCTATACTAAAAACCCTACACCACATGAAACACTTCAACTAAAGTTCCAACTACAAGCAATAGCAATAACAATATGCTCAATATACATCCTACCAAACCATCAACTTAAAATAGACAAACTCCCACTTTCTTTCATCATACAAGGAGACCTCAAAGCGCACAATAATCTTTGAGTATGCAAATAAATAATAAAGGAAATGTCATTTGTAACCTACTCCAAACAACAGCCCTCTGCATATTGAATAATGATACAAATACTTACTTATACCCAGGAATCATGTCTGCCATAGACTTAACAATTTTCCCACCCTCCATTTTCATGAACTACCAATGAAAGGTCCTATAAGAACAATATGCTAGTGATCATTAGCCCATTATCAACAAAATTAATAAAGGAATACTTAAAGAAAAAAATACAAAATTGCAAATTCACAAAGGCAATTGGCTTTCATTCACTGATACCTAACAAAAAGAAATAAACAAAAATACTGGCGGTAATGTGACCAAAATCTACAAAAATATGGTATCACCAAACAGTTAAAAGTTTGTAAAAGCCTGTTGATGTGGGGAGAATCAAGGTCCAATCAGCTCTTATTGGGTCACTTGTGGGAGAGAATAGAATGTTGAGAGATTCAAAATTCTCGGGGAACCCAGAAATATCACATTGCTGACGACTCCCTCCTGTTCACTGAAAAGATGTAGTTTGTGAAATAAAAAATCAAAACACCCCTAACTCAATTCACTAAAATATTAATAAACATAGCCAAAGAAACAATCCCAAATCCTCAACAAATCCACACAAAACCCCCAAAACTTAGTTTATAGATGCATACAAAAAAAAACAGTTAAAACTGGGAGAAGGTGTTCAAAATATTTGAAAAAATTCAATCCCAACTAACTTACAAAATTACAAAGAAGCCTGAGCCAAAGTACAATATGCCATAAAAAAAAACAAAAAAGAAACTTAGCAACTTACATATTCCCTCTAAACAATCAAATTTCAATTAAAAATCTTGGAAAATAGTAATGAAAATAACTGGTCAAATAATACGAACCACAATAGCTTATCTAACCAAATGGAAAGCCAATGGAAAGAAATTCACTGAAAAAAGTTAACCTACTATCAACAAAATTTAGCAAAATCTCCTCTACCAACAACTATACACCAACATTCTAGAAATTTAAAAATACTGCATAGAAAGTAAACTTTAACTTCACTTCAGACAACACTAAAAAAACAGTAAAAAACATTCAAGATATTTAAGAGTTTAAGCACTGAGAAAAGGCAAAGACAGAGAAACAAGACCAGATGATGTTCATTACCAATTCATAAAACATCTGTAATCATCACTTTTTTGTTCTTCAAAGTCTACAATAATATATGGCACACAGGAAAATTCTCAATTCTTAAGCTTGACAAAGACCATTCCAATACTACCAATTATAGACCTATAACCCTAACAAGCTGTCTATTGAAGTTTTAATGAGTATTGTAGTGTTAATTTTTCAAACCTTATCTATAATGGAGGTTTCTTGACTTCTATATGATGGCTGTCCATGGGTGAAGTTCGGAAGGATCATAGACTGAGTATCAGTCCCTGGTTCTGGATTTCAATCTCCTGGGATGGCCATTTCTGGTCCGACCTTTGCACATTGGATGATGCAAGAGGGTGCGTAGCATCGTGGAAGTGAGGGGTCGACTTGTCTGTCATCTCGAGGTAAACCAATCAGTTGAATTTCTGCTCCAAGGTGACAAAGGAGGCTGCCTTTGCCATTATCCTACTTCGGTGCTCTGGATTGGCGAGCCCTGCTATCATCTGCCCAGCAACCATGTCTTTCGAGTAGTTCACTCACTGCCCGCAAGTTTGTTCATTTGGACATTTACTGTTGAACTCACAAAACTTAGCTTGGCCATGTAATCTAGTGAGAAAATGCATCACCGAATCACCTTCATTCTGCGTCATGGAATGGAACTTCTGTTAGTGGACCTCTTTGTGTAGTCCCTTCACCACGACCAGTTGTATTTGTTATAGAAGACTCTCTTCTGTAGCAGAGTTGAGCCTTGTAGGTCCTACTAATTCAAATTGTAGCCTATTTGTTTCTGGTGTACAGGTTGCCTGTAGTTCATTCTGGATTACGGTTGGGTCTTCCAACTTGCATATCTCCTTGTATTGGGTCCATGTATCCAAAAACAATGCCCTGTTCTCCCTCTGTGGTGTCTAGCCCTATCGAGGGTCATTCAGGTTTTTTAACATGTGAACTGTTGGGGTGACCACGAATCATCTCCTTCCTGAGCTCAATGTTTTCCTGTTGTAGCTCGACAAGTTGTCTCATTAGTTTCAAATACTCTTGTTCCATAGTAACTGGTAATGGGTAAGCCTTGGCATTTGGTAAATTCCACAATTAGTGACTTCAAACTTTTGTTGCTTTCAAAGTATCCCATTTGCAGCGCCATGTAAAGTGCAGAAGACATCCGCTGGACATGCTTCTGAGCAATACTGGAAAAGCAAATGGCTGCCTCCTTCTCACTTGTATTTATACACTCCAAGGGCAGATAACTTCGTTAACATCTATACAACATGAAGAATTTTTGAACTTTGATACACACACTTTTACACTAGAAAACCATCAAATCAAATGACTATCCTTTGTTCACCAAATCAAAGGAGCAACTCACACAAAACATGCCTCTACATTATAATTCACCTTCACACAACTTTTATGGATACTTTACAAACCTCATATAGACCTAACACAACAAATAATATCATAAATAGAAGCTGAACTTGTAAGTATATTATTATTGTTACAAATAAATAAAATAATAATAATAATGAAAATTATAAATAAAATAAAAAAATAATATTTAAATCTTGTTTAAAATAAATAAAAAATAAAAACAATAAAATTACTCTCAGCATACAACAAAAACTGTTCCTGAATACTCCACAAATGTTTTAAAATGTGTATAATAGATAGTTTGAAATTCAAAGAATTACACTAATAGTTTCTCTTTTTACAACTCATTCTGTAAAAAAACCTCTCCAAACCACACTTATTTACCTCCCTTTAAACAGTTTCAGTAGTCATGCACTGACACAGCATTTCTCACGTCATTTATAAGAAATTTAACTTTCAGATAATACAACAATTTGTCTTTGACAATAATGAATACTATAATATTTCCTTTGACTATACCCTGATGATGACATTGAAAGTCGAAAGTACTTGGAAATAAAAAATATGTATCAGTATGACAATTTTCTCTCATCCTTCAATAATGACACCAAAAAGCTTATCTGCAAGTATGAAAGGATCTTATAAAAAATAAGTAGGCATAACATTGTATTGTGCTCAAGATTGTAGATAAACTGTCCAAAGTTCATCTTGTGTTATTGTTTTGTTCAAGTACATTGCTGTCTCGGTCATTTTCAAGAACCAATGTGGTATTTGTATGGTCTTTCTCTATACCAAGTTGTATTCAAAGGTAATCTAACTACCACACAGACAGCACATTGATTCTTAAAATTGACTGAGATGGTCTTAAGCACTTTATTATTGTTGTTAACTGTAGATGCTATGTGGAATACAAAGCTACAGCCTCACTATATTAAAATATTAAGATATTAAAAATTAGATAGCAATATTTGAATTTCATTAATAAAGTAAATTATTAAAATTTGATAATCAATTTTCATATTTAGAATTATAAAGTAAATAAATAAATAACAGTTTCCTTTATTTTTTACTACAATGCTTTATTTACATTTTCTTAATAAGAAAATAAAAATTAATGACATTCTGTTGATAAAATAAGAGAAATTTACTCATGTTGTAAGACTTACAAGTAATGTCCTTCATGTGCTGTTATTGTTTTCAAAGAACAGTATTCATTTACAATAGTTCTAAAATTATAATTGTATTTTTTTTTATTTTATTGCATTCTGTTTGAAGGAGTCAAATGGAAAGCCATGACCTTCAGCAAAAGTTGCAGGCTGCACGCAGAGAACACAAAAAAGCACAAGACCAACTTTTGGAGAAACAAACAGCTGTAAATGAAAATCAAAGAAAAGAAGATTTATCTTTGTGTAAGTACCTATAGATATAAACATAAAACACTACAAATACTTTCATATCTATTTTAGATTGTGCATATTAATTCATAACTTAAGAAAAATCTCTAACATTTTAGTCCCTGCCCTGTGAGAATTTTAAGGAAAAAGTGAAAAAATTAGGTTATGTGAAAATGACTTTTCTTGCAGGAAGTGATCAAGCTTGAAAAACTATTAGTTTTAAACATTGTGCACAAAATAAAAGATCAGAAACAAAAGTACAATGTAAAAAACAAGAACTAAACTATTAACATTTGCTATGCACATTACTACTTATTGTACATATGTATAGTTGTGAAATAATTAAATTATGAATTTTATATAAAGAGGATTAATTAATTAATAAGAAATCTACATTAAATTAATTTAATAATTACTATCTATAAAAATAATTAACAGGAATTCTATATTATTACTCAACCACTCCTCTAAACATTTTAAACAAAACAAAGCAATTTTTTTTATTTTATTGTGTTGGAACAGAAATTCATAGCATTTTTGAAAAAGATGGCTATTTATCTTATTATATTTTGGAAGCTAATATCATATATAACCTTGTAAAAACAACTATCACAGTCATTACTCATTGGTTAATTGTTAAAGAATCTTTATGCCATTATCTAATTGTATTTGGAAATTATATGTTAGAGACTAACTGATAAAATAGTATTATTTTTAATCATTATGCTTTCATTAAACATATTTCCTAAAATTCATGTTTCTATACTTGGTCGGCTTATGGACATCCCATTGAAACAGTGGTTCTTGCCAGTTAAGCAACATTAAACCTGGTCAGTATCTAGATGAGTGACTGCTTAGGAATACCAGGTATTGTCAGCTTGGATGTGTGGGTGGTGTAATGGATATAGTAACACAAAATTGGATATTGGAGAGCCGAGTTCCAATTCCAGGTTCATTACATTCAGTTATGTACAAATATCGTTAGGAAAGGTATGAATTCACCTCTTTTTCCCCAGTTATAGGTTAATTAGTAGGGACTTGTAGCAGTACATTATTATCTCCATAAAATTCTTACAATCTAAAAAAATACTTTCTGGCCTTAAATAACCTGCAAAAGGTTGATAAGTCATAAAAAAACAAATCAATCTATGCCTAGTTTGTAATATTACACATTTGGCTTAGAAAGTCATTACACTATCATAGATTTAGGCTTAGAAAGTCATTACACTATCATAGATTTAGGCTTAGAAAGTTATTATACTATTATTATACTGTGGGACTTCAGGGTTAAAATGAATAGTTGGTCTATCCACGTCAAGAGGGTTAATGGAGACAGATAATGATGGGGAAGCACACGGATAATTTTTAACAAAACAACATAAAGAATTTATTTACAAATTTGCATACTTGAAGTTGTGTCAGTAGCTCATTTCAGGAAAATAAATCACAAATTTTTAAAGTCAGTAGTTTCAATGAATTGTCACAAAGAGAAAATGTTCATACAACAGATGAAATCATCTGACACAAAATAATATTAAAAAATGTTTAAAACAAATTGAGAGTGTTCGTTTTTCACATAAAGGTTATACGCTTGCTTACATTCAAAAGTAGATGAAGAGAGTTCGAAATAGCTTTCTTGCATAGTTGAAATAAAGTTCTTTCAAATGCCAAGCACTTCGGCCGATAATATAATCTTTGACATTGACAAAAATATGAATGCAGGACACTGGATTTTCACAGGTGCTCTTGTTGATTTAATTTTTCTCTTTATTTTTCTAAAAAAATTATTTCACATAGGCTCGCTATTTTCTTTTCTTTCTTTTTCTAGGCTCAATGGTTAATTCTTGTGAAAATAATGTTTTCATTGATCCAAAGAAAATTTCCCATAATCTCACAAATTTGCTTTCATTTTTTTTCTCAGTTTGCCAGCCAATCTCTTTGAACTCAAGTTTTCATTGATCCAAAAAATTTTTTACACAGACTTGCAAATTTATTTCCATCTTCTTCTCAGCTCACTGAATTTGAAGGAAGTTGGAGTTATTATTATTTCATACACACCACATCTCTATCATAGATTTAAACTTAGAAAGTTATTACACTATCATAGATTTAGACTTACTAAGTTATTACACTATCGTACATTTGCTATATGCTATGAGTAAGACAATGTTGCACTAAAATAAATGTTATGAAAAATATTTATATTTCAGCCCTAATTGAGCAATTGAAAAAGTCAGAACACCATCTTCTTATGGAATTGGAAGCTGTAAAACAAGAAAGGTAAGTTGACAAAATATTATTTTATTCTGATTTGTTAAAATTCCATGGTATGTTTTTGTAATTCTAAAAAACAGTAAAAAGTAATCCACACATTTTAGTATGCAGTCGTGTTATAAAAGCCACAATTCTTTCACTTTGCCAATTTTCTTTCTTTTATTATTATTATTGTAATGTTTTTAATTTAGAAAAAGAAATATAAACTTATCTATAGTTATTCTAATCCTAGCAAATATATTTGGATGTTCTTAAAAGATTTGCATTTATTTAGCATCACTGGATAGTCAACAGAAATGGGAGATAAAAAATTTTCAGTTTGACTCACTTCCCAAAATCTAACCACCAAATAATCAAACATTAGTTTTCTTTTTGAAAGTGCTTCTTGGTCAGATCAAGAACATTTTTTTTTTGATGGGCCTTATCCCGGATGTATTTTCCTATGTTTTTTATATTCATAAAAATGTGAACAGCCAGACAATGACGGGACAAAGGCAAAGGTTTTGTTATGAACAAAAGTTTATCGTTTTTTTTTCACATTTGTTTTTTACATCGGTGATCCTCAACTGGTTAATCGTACGAACGTTAAATGTTCGGTTTGATTGTAGCTGGTCTGGTCCGTTATCTAAGTTTGTAGGCGTAACGTATTAATGGTTCGGTCGAATATAGTTGGTCTGGCCTGAAGGCAAAAGTTATGGTCTGGTCCTCATAGGTGGTCAGGTCCGGTAGTTTAGGTTTGGTAGGTGAACGAGCTGGTCTGTAGCTGGTCTGGCCCTAGTTTAGGTTTGGTAATGGTGAACGAAAACACTAATCTTTAGCTGGTCTGGCCCGTTAACCTGATTGGTCGGCGAACGTGTCAGGTTCGGCCGGCACAGCGTTTGACGGAGTTAGAAACAGGGCCAGGCAGACCAAAGTAATGCGACTTTACAGGGCGGATCGGCCCAATTTAACGGGATCGCGCCAAAGTGTATCACCAGGCGAAGACGGTGTCCCTGTTACAGGGCCAAGGCAGAAATCATTGATGCGACCACAGGGCGAATTCTAATTATACTTTAAAAGCGCCAAAACTGTATCATTAAGGCGAAGATTCTCCCATTTACAGGCCAAGGCAGACCAGTAATACAACTCCACAATCGGATCAATTCCGGGAACGGGATCAGAATTTAAGAGTGTATCAAAAGGCGAAGGTAACTTTTATTAGAGGTGTTACACCTTCCAGGGCGGATCGACCGTGGAGAATCATCTCACGCCAAGAGTAACACTTTTCGACAAAAAGAACCGAAAGTTCACAAAGGTATTTTGACTACTACACTTTGATCCAGGCCTCAGCGAAAGCTGCTAATATTTATTTTGTAAAAATACAAAATTGTGGCACAAGGCCAAAAAGGGAGGGGTAAGGCTGGTCTTCACTAACTATCTTATACCTAGCTAATTTGATTCAAAACCCATTCAGACATTACAATTTGCTCATTCACCATAAGAACTCGTCCATCATCAATCAATCCTCCTTGCACCATAATACCACATCCACTCAAGGGAGACCTACAAAACGCGCCCCATGTCATAAAAATTTAATGATACATATGTACAAAAAATTCTAAGATGAAAAATGAAATGGGGGGGGATGAACCCAATAACAAACTAAAAAATTAACATAAATGAAAATAAAACGTTAACTGATGTTAGTAGGGCCTTCCAACCCTCAAAATGGGTGAACAGGGAGACCACTGTATTCTGCCCACTGGAACAAAATCAAGCAGCTCTCTCGCGAAGGAGGGAAAAGGTGATAAAAAATACGGATATGGGGAAATATAAAGCTGACCCAGTCGAGATAAAAATGGGGGATCAAAAACAAACTGGGAGGTTGGGAATCTCAGGCTGGATCATAACTAAAGATGTGGTCGGGGTGGGCCAGGAACAACACTTACTCACATTAACTAGGTACACAAAGGCTTGTCTAACCTAACCAAGGGGAGGGCACCACAGGAAGCCACCCCGATGTGAACGTAGGTTGACCTAAAACAGAAAATCAAGGCTAGCCCCGTTCAAACGAACCAAAATTCGCCTCAGTCACCCACCTTTCGCTGAAGACTGTCGAATGCAAGCGTTTTCTATCAGTTCTGATCTTCATCTTGAGCTGATGCTCAAAAAATCGGATTCAGATCCTGATGAGAAAGACGGATACCGGGCAAGAAAAGTTGGTTCCTCCTGTCGCGTCGTCCAAATCACCATTCGGGTTGGGTGGCCGAGCAGCGTTGAGAAACACCATCCGTTTGACCCCGAATAATATTGGGGCGACATTGTCCACGCGTGATGCACATCCATGAGCAATGATGTTTCGGGAGCGAGATGATTGTCAGCTGCCGACATGGTCCCATAAGGGGCGGACCCGGGGGCAATTGGTTGAAGGCGTTGAAGCCGATTTGGTCTAAACCAAGGTCATCACCGTTCACAGTCTGGCAAATCCGCCAAGCCCCATATGAAGGCCATGTCGGAGAGGCAGCCGATTCCGAGCCAATCGCCAGGTAAGCGAAAAACTCAGGGTTACTGAGGTAATCCGCCGCTGGCGCCCAAGACCAGTGAGAGTGAAACTCATCCTCCGACATGCCTCGAGCTGCTCGTGTTGGATCCTTCGCGATATTCCACTATGCATGCTGATAGAAGACCTTCCTAGGCCGAGAAAGGTCACTGGACCAGGGATCATATAACAAGGCCGACCGACACTTCGCGAAAGAAAATCGATTGAACCCGGGTTTCATGGCGGGACCACCCGCCAGATTGGGGACTGATGGTAAGGCAAGGAAGGCGTCCCTACAATCCTTCCATAATCGGATCTACCTGTCAAAGCGCGGCGTAGGAAAGCCAACCTCGAGGCACGTTTGTGGCTCAGCAAGTGTGGCATTCCCAGCCCCCATGACACGGACGTTGTGCACAGACTTCTCTGTCGACCTGATTGGAGAGAGAGAGAGACAAATGGAGGTTAGCCATTTATATCGAACGGTATCCTGTGGTCAGTCACAGAGGGGAGTACGGACAATCGATAAAGGACAAGACGAAAATGTATGCGAAGGCCAGCGCTCCCTCCCTGCCCCTTCACGGACAACCTCCGCCGACGCCAAGTCTGACCACAAGGTGAAAACTGCTAAATTTATTTTGTAAAATTACAAAATTGTGGCACAAGGCCAAAAAGGGGAGGGGTAAAAGCTGGTCTTCACTAACTATCTTATACCTAGCTAATTTGATTCACGACCCATTCAGACATTACAATTTGCTCATTCACCATAAGAACTCGTCCATCATCAATCAATCCTCCTTGCACCATAATACCACATCCACTCTAGGGAGACTTACAAAACGCGCCCCATGTCATAATGATCCTAACACATATGTACAAAATTCTAAGATGAAAAAATGAAATGGGGTGGGATGAAACCAATAACAAACTAAAAATATTAACATAAATGAAAATAAAACGTTAACTGATGTTAGTAGGGCCCTTCCAACCCTCAAAATGCAGGGAGACCACTGTATTCTGCCCACTGGAACAAAATCAAGCAGCTCTCTCGCTAAGGGAGTGGGAAAGGTGATAAAAAAATCATACGGGCATGGGGAAGTATAAAGCTGACCCAGTCGAGATAGAAAGTGGGGGATCAAAAACAAACTGGGAGGTTGGGAATCTCAGGCTGGATCATAACTAAAGATGTGGCCGGGGCGGGCCGGGTTAGGCGAAAAGTGGCTAAGAATATTTTGAAAGAGTTGTTCAAGTGCTCCCTGGCTAGAGGGGAGTAGAAGACCGTTAGATAATAAATTACTGTCTATGGTTGCCGATGTTTAGAATGGCCACAGCATAGTCAGATGCGCTATCCCAATTTATTTTGACATCAACGATATTGGACTAGCCGTCCGTTTTCCCGATGTTGCTTGACCTAGATCTGCGAGATCGGGAGTTGTGAAGGTCAAGGTCGGTTTTCTAAGGAGCGGATAATCGGCGACCGCGACACCTTGTAATAGTTTTTCCTTTCCAATACAATTATTATTGGTTTACTGGGTAGTAATGTAACTTGTGACAATAATGGTTTCCAATCCTTAGAGATTTCTCCAAATTCTTATTAATAATATAATTTAAACCTATAAAAAATGGAATTAGTTTTGAAACAAATCCTTGTAGCCAAGTCACCTTGATTTTGTTAATATTTCCATGTTTATTGCCACCATCCCCATAACATTATCAACATATAGAAAAATGAAAGCAAACATAAAAAAATTCCTTGTGATTAACAATAAAGTCTCCTTGATTTTGTTAATATTTCTACATTTTTCTCATTATGATTTCAGTATGATGTAAATAAATACTAATAAGAATATAGATATATTATCTATATTCTTATTAGTATTTATTTACTACTTTTCTACTCAAATATTATAATTTCCAGATTTTCAGATTTACCTTTATCACTTTGCATTGCAGAGTTGTATATTTTTTAAATGTATAAAAATTATTATATACACAGCAGATTTTAAAATATAAAGGTATTATCAAGTTAAGTGTAACATGATGCAGGTATGGATTTTTTCATCAGTTTACTATATTCACTTGTTGGTTACCAGATGCAGTCATCTAACTTGGTTTAATGTTGTGTACCCATCAGGATGAGATTAGTGAATTATTCTTCTGTTCACTCTAGCAGGCTGTGGTTTTCTTGATCTGGTGACTTTCTTGAAAGGTAGAAAAATTATGGATAGAAAGAATAAATGTTGTTGTAAAATCTATAAACATTTTAATAACCTAACAGCTTGCCAAAGGTTACAATCATTCTGGTTGATTTCTATTATTCATGAGACATTGAGGATAGTTAACTACACAGTTAGAAAGATGTGGCTGTGTGTGAGAAATTTCTGAAACTTGTGGAGAGAGAGAGGAGCAAAGTTCCCTCTAGATAAAACAATGAACTCCATGATGCAAATTTGACAAGCAGCTGCACTCATCTAGCCATTTGTCTGGGAAA